CCAATAAAACATTTTTAGAAAATTCAAATTAAGAAAGACAATCAACATGGCCATTATTAATGGTATGTTAATATGGACTTCATTCAATTTTTTGTCTGGAGGAATTTGCTGATCAGTCTGTAGATAATGGGGAATCCCACTTGGATGAGCAATAGTTTCCTCTTGATTTTATTAAGTTTCCCTGATGCTTCCCATGAAATGCAACAAAATAAGATCTTTAAGAGTATTCATTAGTTTATTAGGTTTGTTGTGTGGCCCATCTCACCTATTTTTATCCTCTTTAACAGTGTTATGCTGCTAAAAGGAATATTCTAATCTTCACAGTCCTCTGGGACTTCCTTATTTATGTTTCAAACAAGAAATCAAATTCTTGCATGGCTTTTTTTAAACTTTCCTTTGAAGATCAATAAAATGATATAACCTTTACAAATTTATAAAACCTTAGTAAGGCCACACCTGGAATACTGCATCCGGTTTTGGTCCTCACATTACAAAAAAGATGTTGAGACTTTGGAAAACGTGCAGAGAAGAGCAACTAAACTGATTAAAATTCTGGTGACAGAAATATATGAAGAACTATTGTGGGAATTGGATATGGTCAGTCTAGAGAAAAGAAGGACTAGGGGTGATATGATAGACGTATTGTAGTATTTCAGGGGCTGCCATAAAGAAGAGGGGGTCAATTTATTTTCCAAAGCACCAGAGGGCAAGTCAAGAAACAACGAATGGAAACTAATTAAGGAAAGAAGCATCCTGGGATTAAGGAGAAACTTCCTAACAGTGAGGACAATTAACCAGTAGAAGAGCTTGCCTTCAAAAGTTGTGGGTGCTTGGGAGGAGTTTCACATTGCAGTGATAAGATGACCTTTCTGGCTTCTCCCGAATAACCATCTAATTTGGATCATCTGGATGGTCCTATCTGGATCTAAGCCATCCTGAAGAGACTGTGAAAGGTGGGAAATCCAGTGGTCCCAGAGACACTCGCAAAATCTCTGGTGACCCGGAAAAAGCCCCCTTTGTCAGCGATCGCAAGTCAGCCACCAGACTGCTGAAGCTGCTGACAGTTCCTATACGCAAGCACAGGAGAGAAGCATGTTGTTTTGGTGAGAACTATAAATCCTGTATATAAAGTATAAATATGGAGGGAAAAAATGGTCACAATCAATACAAACGGACTTAACTCAGCAATTAAAAGAAGAAAAATATTTCACAAATTAGAAAAGCTAAAACTTGACATAATCTGCCTACAAGAAGTACAGGGCGGGGCATAACCTTTTCCTAGGGGGTCACAGCAACACTTGTAATAACAACACAAATAATTCATACACCATTCGAAAGCCCAT